GAATCATGTTTTCCTACGGGAGATCCTAGTTTGTTATCCTCATGAGGACGACCATCATCTGCAATGAAATGATTTATGCTCCCCAGTATAGAACTTCTTACCGACTTGAATCTTGCAAATATGGCTACACTCAGTGCAACCAGATATTATTGACATTACCATCTAAAGTTTTTTGGCTCCCCAGTGTAACAGGTAGTCTTTATCCCCAATCGAAGTCGAATTTCGAGGACTTATTAGTGTAACTTATCTATCATTCCCTAGTGGAGCCAGTTCTTCTTTCCCTAGTGGAGCAAGTGTCCTGTCTCCCCAGTGTGGTGTGTATGGGAATTCCAGTCATAACTCTTTCATCCCCAGTGATAGAATTTTGTTGAGATATCCCTAGTGGAGTTTATGTCCCAAGATGTTTGTTTCTTCCTCAATTGTAGATTTTTACCCCCAGCGATGTTATCCCCAGTGTGGTCTGAGTAGAATTATTTTTATTTAAGAATTTCTATACTCCCCAGTAGAAGTTATCTTCGTCAAGAGATTTTACGCGAGGAAGTTTCCATCTCCAGCGAAGCTCTCCTCTTTCTAACAGAAGATAAATAATTTGTTCCCCAGGAATATGGGAGTTTGATCATGATTCAAGATTTTATTTGAACTGCAATTTTTTTTGGTAGTATTTCTCTTAGGAAAGTTACTTCCCCAGTGATATCGATATTCAGAGGTTGGTGGTTCGGGGTCTCGGTGCTCCATTGAAGTTTATATTGCCTTTTCTCTATAGAAGATCAGATGTGCAAGCATAATTGTTCGGAAGTTCATTGTCTTCCAAACATCTGATTATTGATGTGATCTCCCCAGCGTATTGATAAACATGCATCATTACATTGCATCTACCAAAAGGCATATCATTTCCATTGTATGGAGCGTTACGCTAAAAAATTCAAACATGCATAAGTATAAGCCAATTGTATTCACTTGCAGTAACCAAATTGTTATGCGTTCAAATTTGAATCATCTTCACAACAAGCTTTGGGTGATCCTATTCTATTTCCCCATCGGAGTCTGTTTGATTTACCATCAGTCGGGTCTTTGTTATTTCTCCATTTCCCTAGTAATTTGTGGTTTTATCTTTCCCTTGCAAGCCTTTGGTTATTTTACCCGTGTTTGCTTTACCGTCAGAGTGCGAGTAATAGTCGGTGTATAACCTTTCTTATTCCTCAAGTATTTGAGTATCCATACTTGGTGTGTGGAAATTCAGATAATTGCCACTCTCGAAGAATTACAACCCACTTTTGGCCTGAAGGATTTTGAAGTTCTTGTGTATTCGCAACCCTTAAAGCCCAACATGTGTTGACAATCCTTGTTAAGAGTCCCTATAGTTGGTCTCTCTTTCCTAATCACAAGTATTCCCCTGACCGCCGTTCTTTTTGGGTTCAATACATACGGGAATCCCCAGTAAGTTATTTTCCCTTAAATCCGTCTTCAGTTGGTATCCTTGTCAGAGTACCCCTCGATTGTTTTCTTTCTCCTGTAAAGGTCGCCTTTGATTCGGTGCTCTCTTTGAATTTACCTTGGTCAAAGTTCTCGCCCAGTTTCCCTAAAAGGGATATGTCACGGGGTATCCCCAAAAAGTTTACCTTTGGCTTAGCTTCCTTGTTGATGCATCCTTGTGCATGCATCCTTTGTTAAGAGTCTACGTCGATCGGTCTCTTTCTTATATGTGTTTAACTTTGTCCGGACACATATATTTTACCCCCAGTTCGCCTTTATTCGGTGTTTTTTTCTCCAAGAGTTTATATGCGGTTAGTGTTCCTTGATAAATCTGGTTGAGATCGCTTTGTTAGATCTCTTCTATCTTCGATATCTTCGGTCGAGTCCGATGTTTTAGGTCTCTTCCTCTTTTGATATCTTTGGTCGAAGTCGCTGTGTTAGACTTCTTTCTTCCTTGGTATATCTGGTCGAGATCCTTGTGTTAGATCTTTTCCATCTTCGATATCTTCGGTCGAGTCCGTTGTGTTAGGTCTCTTCCTTCTTTGATATCCCTGGTTGAAATCGTTGTGTTAGATTTCTTCCTTGTTTGATATATCTGGTGGAGATCATTGTGTTAGATCTCTTCCATCTTTGATATCTTCGGTCGAGTCCGCTGTGTTAGGTCTCTTCCTTCTTTTGATATCGTTGGTTGAAGTCGCTGTGTTAGACTTCTTCCTTCCTTGATATATCAGGTCAAGATCACTGTGTTAGATCTCTTCTATCTTCGATATCTTCGGTCGAGTCCGTTGTGTTAGGTCTCTTCCTTCTTTTGATATCTTTGGTTGAAGTCGTTGTGTTAGACTTCTTCCTTCCTTGCTATATCAGGTCGAGATCGCTGTGTTAGATCCCTTCCATCTTTGATATCTTTGGTTGAATTCATTGTGTTAGACTTCTTCTTTCCTTGATATATCTGGTCGAGATCACTGTGTTAGATCTCTTCCATCTTCGATATCTTCGGTCGAGTCCACTGTGTTAGGAGTCTTCCTCTTTTTGATATCCCTGGTTGAAATCGCCGTGTTAGATTTCACCTTTCCTTGATATATTCGGTCGAGATCACTTTGTTAGATCTCTTCCATCTTCGATACCTTCGGCCGAGTCCGTTGTGTTAGGTCTCTTCCTCTCTTTGATATCTCTGGTTGAAATCACTGTGTTAGATTTCTTCCTTCCTTGATATATCTGGTCGAGATCGCTTTGTTAGATCTCTTCCATCTCCAATATCTTCGGTCGAGTCCGCTGTGTTAGGTATCTTCTTCTTTTTGATATCTTTGGTTGAAATCGCTGTGTTAGATTTCATCCTTCCTTGATATATCCGGTCGAGATCGCTTTGTTAGATCTCTTCCATCTTCGATATATTCGATCGAGTCTGCTGTGTTTGGTCTCTTCCTCTCTTTGATATCTCTGGTTGAAATTGTTGTGTTAGATTTCTTCCCCCCTTGATATATCTGGTCGAGATCACTTTTTAGATCTCTTCCATCTCCGATATCTTCGGTCGAGTTTGTTGTGTTAAGTCTCTTCCTCTTTTTGATATCCCTGGTTGAAATCGCTGTGTTATATTTCTTCCTTCCTTGATATATCTAGTCGAGATTGCTGTGTTAGATCGCTTCCATTTTCGATATCTTCGGTCGAGTCCGCTGTGTTAGGTCTCTTCCTACTTTGATATCTTTTGTTGAAGTCGTTGTGTTAGACTTCTTCCTTCCTTGATATATCTGGTCGAGATCATTGTGTTAGATCTATTCCATTTTCTATATCTTCGGTCGAGTCCGCTGTGTTAGGTTTCTTCCTTCCCTGATATCTTCTGTATGTCCGCTACCGACTTGGGCGTGTATATTTGATATCTTTCTCTTATGTGTTCGCTACCAACTCCGAACATGTACTTTTGATATCTTTCTCTTATGTGTTCGCTACCAACCCCGAACATGTATTTTCGATATTTTTCTTGTCATATGTCCGCTACTAACTCTTGACAGATATTCCTTGATAACCAAGTTCTCTTCTGTGTGTCTAACCCTTGTTTGACATACATTTATCCCCGATGACCCCTTTTTCCTAAAAAAAGGAAAAATAAAAATATAGAAAACCAAAAATATAATAATACATGATTGGCTTCAGAGTGAAAATTTTCGGGTTCTTTTAGTATTTAATCTTCTTCCACCTTGAAAGTTTGAAAGGCTGGTGCCAATCTCACCTTCAAGGTTGAAGGCGATTAAATAGGGGCAGATGTTGTACCCTAAAATTTTCCCTCCTAATTTCACTTTTATTTGGCTTAGGGTTTTGCATTCATCTGCATATATTCCATTAGGTCATTAACATAACATTGCATTTAATAAAGTTCCCGAGGTTCAAAGTTCAACGGTTGTGCGATATCAGGGTTTCACAGCGATTAAAGTATATATACCTGATAAAGTTGATTACTTCTAACTCTTCTAGTTATTCTGAAAGCAGTGAAGCATGCGGATTAGGGTTGTGAGTTGTCAAGGTTTATGTTTTATCATGGTGGAGTTTTGTTAATATTCAACTGAGGATCATTGAATTTTCAAGTCAAGGCTATCGCTTCAAAAATATGGCATCATCTTCATCAAGATTTGTCAAGACTTATCTTCATCAGTGTAAGGGTTGGATTCAAGATAAGAGCCTATGAGCTTGAAGATTCATTGGTGATACATTGGTAGTTTAGCGGACAAGTTACAAGATATGGGTTGTGGGTTCGAAACATCATGATTCTTTCAAATATCAATTTCTTGTCACGCAAGTTAAGTTTGGCTCAAACTTAGAGGGTTGAAATTAGAGGTTCATGGAGAATACAAGATGATTCGGATTTGAAGTCGATTCATGTAATTCCATAAATGCGAATTTGTGTTCAAGTGATCCCATAATTGCAGATTCGTGTTAAAGTTAATTGATTGGATCCATCTTCTTAAGCATAGGATTTGTCAAGATTTAATTGAAGTCTACTAAAAAGGGGAAGATGTATTTACAGGATTTTCTTTGGCACATCATTTACAAGATTCATAGTTACCCGGCATTCAAGATTCCAAAGGATCAATCTTTCAAAAATTCATGAATAATAGACATGGAATTTTGAGTAATGGAAATAAAATGTAAATTTTTTTGTCATATTTACTCATCAAATTCCATCAAAGTTTATTCAATTGGAGACATGCAGCTTCATTCATGTTCATAGTGGTGTCATTCCAAGAACTTCTTGGTACAAGGCAATTGCAAAGAACTGGTGCAAGATTGGTTGAGAAAAAATCAATACATTCATGAGGATTCAAGAATACAAGTTCAAATGTCATTACAAGCTTCAAGTACAGTCCATTACATCATGAAACACTACATGAAGGAAAGGTGTAAAGTGAAAAAAAAATATCACAAAACCTAACTCTAGTTTCTAAGTTGTTTAACTCCAAGAGTTACTTGAATCCAGTTTTGCGCCATGGACCATTGGATCAAACCATACAAACCATGCTATAGCCTTGCTCATTCAATTAAACAGAACTAGTTAAAATTCCAACACAGACCCACAACCTGCATAAATAAACAGACACATTTCCCTGCATGTAAAAAACCTCAAGAATTAGTTCACCATAAAAACTGCAAACATGTTCTAAAGCCATCCCAATGCAGTTTAGAAACAGGTCCCTGTATTGAAACCATAAAATTGTTATCATGAACCGCCCCGCTGCTGATATAATAGCCCGACATAAAAAAGCAAAAAAAAAAACCAGTTCACTCATTCAGAAAATTAAAAAGGGTAATGCATAGCAAAACCGGTTCAGTCAAACACATAGATTCAAGTCATTTTAAATATCCACTTCATAAATCCAATCCCTCACATAACAATTTCTAACAACTTTAAGCTAACAGTTATCCATTTATCGACATTCCTAGCAACCAGGCCCTATCAATATTGACTATTTTAACTCTTTTTCACACTAACAATTAACTAACAAAAATTATAATCAGAACTAAATCTCAATTTCATAAATCCAAGCCATCCAGATCTCTAACAAAAATTCAAATCAACCGTTCAGATCAATTCAACTTCTAACTAACTTTCTAATCTCTAACCAACTATATAAAAACTCACCAGATTGATTTGATTGGGTGAGGGGGGGAGAATAACTCGGGAAGAACCACTACAAAAAGAGAAAACTCTCTGCACAGATTCACTCTCTTCCATCTTAATATTTTCTCATCCATTCTTGAACTCTGTGAAGGATCTTCAAACTCATAAATACCTGAAACTCCTCTACTAGCAATCTTTATCACAAATTACTGTAACTGAATCTTTCTCTCAACATGTCACGTCCTTAATCTTCATCTTCATCTGCAACAGCACCAACACCTCCATCATCACAAATTCTCACGCATTTTCTACTATCTGCAAGAGACAAAATCGTGCATCAATCTTCAACGTGACGTTTCATATTGAATTAAAACAGGGGAAAAAGAATACGCAAGGAAAAGAGGAAGATTGACACAAGAAGAAGAGGAACTTAAAGTAGAAACGAGCAGAGGGTAAGAACCATTACCCGTATCACCTTCTAGTTTTCTGCTCGATTGAATCCACGACGAAGGGGAGGGGTGAGCGGAGTTTAGAAACTGAGGAAGAGTTTGTGAACCGGAAACAAATTTGAGACGAAATCGCGACTGAAGTGGAGGGACAAAATGAACAAGAAGAACCGCGGAGGAATAAAATGAGTGAAGTGGCTAAGAAGATTTGAGCGGCGGCGTTTGTTTCGATTAGAGATGAGACGTGTTGAATGTTCTCCAACAGGTAAGTATGAAATCTCCATTATATCTTCATCTTTTTGCATCAAATTTGTCATCATGCCGTACGCTTCAATCTGCTAAAATTTTGCCTTGATGTGTTGAACTACAAATCTTCATCATCACCGCTTGAACTCCGTTGGAAGATCTAGGTTGAAAACAGATGATTGGATTCGGAGATGGGAGGTTGAAACAAGCGGACCGATGGTGGAAACTGTTGATTCACAGAGTTGAGTTCGGAACGACAGAGGTAGGGAATCAAAGAAGAGAGTCTTCATTGAGCGATAGAAGAAGACGAGAGTGTCGAAGTCTTGATTGTGGAATCTGAACCGTCACCCCCAAAATTCAGCCCTAACCCTCTTTCTTTTTTTCTTTTTTGTAAATATTGTTATATTTTAATTCCTTTTAGATTTAATAAGCGTATTAATATAAAAAAGAATCTGGAAATTTAAATAATAATAATAATTCCAATCGGATCATGTTAATGATCTAGGAGTTAGGCCCGTAACGTAGTTTTTTTCTGAAAAAAAAACCTTTACTGCCAATAAATCCTGCTTGTGGACTAATACCTATCGGACCTTGCAATCCAAGCTTGTTTCTCTTCATACCCCCTGGATCCAGTTCATACCTCCCTGGGCTCATCCTATTGCGATTTCTATTTATTTTAAAATTGATTTCGCTGATAATTTCAGTTGTTTAATTGTTTTTTATTTTTCATGATAAAAAATAATAAAATCAAATATGAAAATTTGTTAGATTTTTATTTGTTTTTTTAGGAATTAAATCGGGATTATCCGATTATTTGAGATTTGCAATTCACCTATACTTGTTGAGATTTGAATCTTATGCAGGTTTATTGTGCGATATGTGGATATGCTCTAGGTTTTGATTGTGATTTATTTTCACATCGATGGTGCTTCGACACTTATCTCGAGCGTTTGATTTCAGACTCTTTTCTTTGCTTGGTAAAGCTTACTCGAAGATCATCGGTTTCTTTGTTTTGATACGCTTCGCTACAGATTTATATCCGTTTGGTATTTTCTCTTGTTGATCATATTTCACACTTTATTATTTTCTATATATCATGAGAAGTAGGAAATAAAGAGCCTGTGCTCGAAGTCGCTGTTTAAATACCTATAGCAGGAATTTTCTGCACTTCATTTTCTATATGTGTTATAATTATATTTGTTTCCTTGGTTGTTGATCGATGAGTCACTCAATTTAGGAATTGAGATCACGACTTCACTCTCAGAGCATGCTCCCTATAGGATTTTATCGCTTTCCTTGATTTCTTGTTGATCGATGAGTCACTCAATTTAGAAATTGAGATCACGACTTCGCTCTCATTGTATGTTCCCCATAGGATAGTTTTGTTAGACTTTCTTTAGCATGCTAACCTAGATAGGATATCTCTAGGTGTGTTCTCTTGAGCCTGTTGGCTTGCTTGCTTGATTTCGTCTTTGTGTGCATGTTTTGAGATGATATACCCTCGGCATGTTCCCTTAGGAGCTCTCGATTCAACTATAGATGATGATTCAAAATAAACATAGTTTTATGTGATAGACCCTTATTATGCTCCTTTAGGACTTCTGGATTCATCTATAGATAATGAGTTGAGATAGACATTAGGATTTTTATCCAAGCATGTTAACTTAGGGTAGATAGTTCCCTTCAAAGCTTAACCTTAGGATCAATCATTGTATCATAGCATTAGGGATAGATTTAGGTTAGTCTCCCTTAGATGTTTTCTTTTCTTTTGCATCCTTGAATTTAAAACATAAACTTTCTCTTTCTTGGAAAAATATTAAAACATCTAACAATTTTCAAATCCTTCTTTAAGGTAAAAGCTATCAACCCATGCAAACTCTTTTACGCCTTCGGGCTTTTCTTTCAAACCTTTTTCAAAAGAACCTGTTAATTCACTTCTGTGTTGATGCGTAAATCTCCAAAGGTCGAGTTGCGGCAAAAGGCGAAATTAATATTGTTCATTAAAAAATAAAAACCAACAAAACTTTTGAAGCCGAACTACGGCTGCTCTGATTCCTTAAAAGGATACTTAGGCATTGGGGTAGGGACCGAACGAGTACGACTTTTATTTTCCTTACATTCTTTTCTATTTTCTTTTGCATGCATTCCCTGTACAATTTAGATAAAATTCTTACACACCCTTTGATTATAACAACATGAGTGGATACCATAGAGTACTACGGGTGTGTGGGGTGTTAATACCTTCCCCTCGCGTAACAGATTCCCTTACCTGATCTCTCGGTTGTTTGATTGTGATTTCACCCTTCTTAGGTTTACTCGATGTTTACCTTTCCCCTCTTGTGGGATAAAAAACATTCTATGGAGACATCATTGATTTCATTATCAGTTGATTGTTCAGCCGTTTATTTCAGGTAGATGATAGAAAAACTCTCTCACCAGCTTAGAAGAAAATTTATAGAAAACATTATAGAGTTAGAGACATTCTGATATAAGCTCTACCTCATTCTAAGTTCAACAAGATTATTAACAAATCTAATGATAAGACTATCTTCAAGTCCTTGTGTTCTACTTATGAAGGAAATCTACAAGTCAAAGAGGCTAAGGCCAACCTTCTTGTAAAACACTATGAGTTGTTCATAATGAAGGATGATGAAGATATTGAAACCATGTTTTCTAGGTTTTAAGTTCTGGTATCAGACCTTCAGGTTCGGAATAAAAGCTACACTACATCTGATCATGTAAAGAAGATCTTGAGAAGTCTCACTGCAAAATTTAGACCAAAGGTCACTGATATTCAGGAGGTTAAAGACCTGAATACTTTGAGTCTTGAAAGTCTTATAAGTAACCTTTAGAACCATGAGATGAAACTGAATTAAGATAAGCCTATGAAGAAATCTAAATCATTGGATTTGAAGTGAGTAGTTGAGAAATTTGGTGGTAAAGTTTTCAGATCCTTAAGAGTATAGAAATTAGAAGAAGTTTCTGATGATGAAGTTTCTTATGGTGACTATAATGATGAGAAAATGGCCTTTATCCTCAAAAAGTTTGAACAACTGGAAAAAGGAACAACATATTCTATAGTAGAAACTATGGCTTCAGAGGCTCTAGTTCTAGAGGCAAATGTGATAACTAGAAGAATTGCTTCAACTGCAAGAACTTGGTCATTTCAAAACTAATTGTCCCGATTTGCAGAAGGACATACCAAATAAAATATGCTTCCAGAAGGAAAAATTCAGAAGTAAATTCAAGAAGAGCTTCATGGCAACATGGGATGAACTTGTTAATGAAGAAAGTTAATATAAGGCTGAAGGAGAAGAAAATCTAGATCTGATGACTCTCACATCCCCTGACACAAAGTCTAAATCCAACTCTAGTTCATGATTAGAAGATGGAGATGAGGTATTTTCTAACTTATCTCTTTATAATCTTATTACTATCATTCAAGACTTCGTGAGTCGGGGCAAAGATAAAGCAAGACACATGAAAGATTTAAAGAGAGATCATGATCTTTTTAAAGAGGAATTAAAAATCTCTCAAAATAAATTTGAATCTCTAGAAAAAGATTATAATTCTCTTTTAAATAAAGTTCCTGATAAAACATTGAGTGAGCATGAAATGGATCTTCAAAACTTTATCACAACAGGTCTTGAAAGAACTAAATTTTCTTCCATGATCTATGGAGTATGTAAGAGTGGGTGAGAAGGTTTGGGTTGCAATGGAGAATGCTCCAAATTTCAACTCTATAAAAAAACCTCAGATCCTTCTTCTTCAAGCATAGCTCAAACAAAGCTGAACAATTATTTTGTGCCTGCTTCCGATAAGGGTAAGAATCTGAACTAATCAGAACCAAAGATAACTGAATCAAAGGTCCTGAATAAATTAGTACTTGGGACTTCAAAGTCAAAGGTCCTGAAGAAATTAGAACCTAAGATTCAGCAGTCAAAGGATTTAAAGAAATCATAATCCAAAATTCCTGAGTCAAAGGTTCTAAAGAAAGAAGACCTTAAGGCTTATGAACCAAAGGTTCTGAAGGGTTCAGAAGCCAAAGTCAAGACTTATTTAAGACAAAAAAATTATAAACAAAAATTATGGAATCAGTCTAGACCTTTTTGTCAGGAAAAGGATCAAATTAAAAGGAAGCTTGTCAGAACTAACACTAGAGGCCCATAAGATTATGGGTACCTAAATATGAATTCTTTTGTTTGCTGGATATATGCTTAAAAGGAGAAACAAATCAACAATCATGGTACCTGGACAATGGATGCCCACAACATATGATAGGAGAAAAGCATATGTTTCAAACCCTAATTCTTAAAGAGGAAGAAATTTGGGGTTTGGAGGAGGACAGAAAGGGAAGATCATTGGTGTTGTACCCTAAACTTTTCCCTCCCATTTTCTCAAAAATTTCTTTCAAGGGTTCTCAAAATACTCAAGAATCTCAAGGGTTGACCAGTTTAGATGCTCTTCCTAAGCCAAAGGTCTACAACTAGGGTTTTGAGTTTCTCAAAGAAGATTTGGCTGCAAAGGTATTAAATGATTTCCGTGGCTCTCCATAGGTCTCAACAAGGTTCATTTCAAGTTTCAATTCCTACATCACAAGTTTGCTCAGTCAATGGCTCAGATGATTGAAAATCAATTGTATTGGGTAAAAAGTCAACTATGGTTAACGTACAGTCAAACTTCAAGATTTTTTGTCAACATAAACATTTTGAAGTGATATTTATCATTTGATCAAGGGTTGATCATGATTCCTCAAGGAAAGCCCTCAAATCATCAAAAGTCAAGAATTGTCAAATTGGGGTTTCCTTAGGAGAAGTCAACTGAACTTTGACCAAGCATTACCTTCACATGCTTCATCTACTTTCCCCCAACCAAAGCCCATTTTGAAGGAAATTCAATTCTCTACAACTTTGTATTTATTCTCAATTCCAAAAAAAATGCTTCATTTGAAAGATTTGAGCTAATACATTATAGGTCATTTTTAAAAGTCAACAAAAAGACATTTTTTATCAAGGCAACTTACATCAAGATAAATCTCCAAATGAAAAAATGATAAAAAGAGAAATTGTAGAGA